TCATGGCAGATGAGATTCTGCCAAAACGTTGCTACAACTTTAAAAGCACAACTATAATGACGTCACTCCGATTACACACACCACACACCAATCTAGGCTTTACACACCAATCTGGAGCTGGGCCGCAGAAATCGGAGTGACCCGGAGATGGTCCCAAAGGGTTTTTCAGGATCTCTTTGCTGCCATCTAATTTGAGGGTCCTGATCACAGCCGACTGAGGCTGCTTGCAGCTTGAGAAGCAAAGGTTCCAGATTTTATGGCTGTGACAGATGATGATAGATTGCCTTAGCAGTGTTTCCCAACTTTAGCGACTTTAAGATGGGTAGACTTCATCTCCCAGAATTTCTCGGCAATTTTAATGTAGTTCTAATTCCTAATACCATTTGGCTCCTTATTACTGTGAATTCTTTCCCCCTTTCCCAATCAATAACTGTATTGTTAGCACTAACTGTGATTAATAGTATTACTATTTCTTACTCATTTCCTGCATTCTGCACAATATTGCTTTCAGAAAAAGGAAACTATGATTTTGTCTATCATCTATTTCTACCTACAGTAACTACCTATCAAATTGAGCCACATAATCTTCCTATATCAACAAAGTGAGTAACAACCTCCCCATAACTTCAAGTGGTAGTCAGTAAGAAGATTAATAAAATATCCATTCTAACAAAGTTATTGATGTATGGGGCGCTAAAATACACCTATGCAGTTTCCAAAACTCTAACTTAATCCTTTTTTTCCTTTCAATAAAACTAACTTTCTGACATCCCACTCAATATCTTTTTCCAGTTTTATGAGTATTGAGGAGCACTTTGAATGTGCTTTTCAAACCAGCTATATATCAGTTACTGTAGTTGTCATGTCATTCCAGACTACACTTAATTAGCTTGCTGATCAGAATGTTATGGGATACTTTATCTGTTTTGCTGAAGTTAAGATAATTACTTACAATTTACACCCTCAATATAATGAGGAACTTATCCATGAGATAAAGTTAATCTGACAAGATTTATCCCTGAAAAATCCATGCTGGCATCTGGTAATCTTGGCATTGTTTTCAAGGTCCTTACAAACCAACCACTTTATGATCATCCAGGAGTTGACATGCATTTGAATATTTTTGATGGCAATTTTTTCTTTCAAAAGGAAGGTGATTCTGCTGGCTTTAAAGAAGGCTATGATCCATCCAGCCTCTCCTCAAGTAATCATGCTGGATCCAATATCAAGACAATTGTCTTCCAGTCTCAAACAGAGGGAAGATTGTTGAGAAAATAGTCAGGCAGCTGCCTCAAAGGACCCTATAGGAAATAGATTATCCAATGTATAGATTTCTTTCTGTAAACTAATATTTTAATATTGTAGAAAGGTAATATCTCAAATATAAAAGGGAAACCTCTAAGTTGAGTTGATTATAATTCCTAGTGATTTCATGGACATGCCCATGAAATTGTCTGTGCCACGGTGCAGAAGAAGCTTGCTATTGCTTTATTTTAGGATGTTTTTCAACTTCTAAATCTAGTTTATAGCCCTGGGACTGCCTTGTAATCTATCATCCAAGGGTTAGCCAGGCCTGACACTGCTTATCTTCTCAGCCCAGCCAGGTGCTGCCATCTGCTGAAGCAAGATTGGAAAGCATCTGAAGCAAGAGAAGAAAGCATCCTAATAAGGATTAAGTCAAAATATCTAAGTCAAGTTTATTATAAGGTTATTTATATAAATATAGCATATTCAGCTGTTCAAAACACTTTGTATGGTATAACAGTCTAAACTGCTTCGGATATACCAGCATGGATTTCCACAATTACAATCCAACACATTTGGAGGAGAGTTGGTGAAGCTTACCAAAGGCAAGCAAAGAAGCATAACTTGCTACATAATATGTAAAACACAAGTTATGGAAGAACATTTCTAAACCTTGCCAAACACAAGAGGAAATTCCACCAGCCCGTGGACTTAATCAGAAGAAACCACCTGGTTTAACAGGGCATCAAATGAGGCCTACTGTTTCCCCTCCTCTAAAGCCCCATCCTACAATTGTATATCCCATGGAGGATTTCAGTGGTGTGCACAGGCTGTGTATAAATGTGTGTGTGTCAAAATCTGCAAGATGGTGGGTATAGAATCATGATCAAATACAAAGCATGCATGAAAGGAGTGAGGCTTCAGTGCACCCACCGTCTTGTATATTTTGCTTCAATACAACCCATTCGAAAGATCCCTTCTTCACCCCTATGAGTAATATGTGTGTTCCTCACTCCAGGCCCTCACTGAGGCCTGGGAGTTTCAGGGTCCTGCATAGTATCTGCATAGAATATATACATCAATCATGTCTGACTGTCAGAGACCGCCTGGATAAGTATCTGCAGTTTTTTTGGCAAGGTTTTTCAGAAGTGGTTTCCCATTGGCGCCTTCCATAGATTGTGACAAAGTGAGTGGCCAAAGGTCTCCATCAAGTTAACTTTGTGCCTAAGGTGGGATTAGAACTCAAGCTTTTATAGCTGCACACAAAATACACATTTGGAAAGTTTTTTTTTTTAAAAAAAACCATTCGTTTTAATTTTTGGTATTTCCAAACCCTTAAAATGAAGTCTGTGAAGTTATTCTTAGCAGAATCCTCTTTAACAGAGCAACGACATTTCATTTGGGCTTGGTACCTTCTAAAGTTGAAGAAGTTGACCCACTTTCAAATCATGATTGCAGCAAATCCTGGCAATATAAGTATAATTGAGATCCACAATGTTCTTGTATTCTGACATCATAAACACAGTTCTATAATTAAACTGAATTAACAAACCATTCTGAATCTCTCCGAAAAACAGTGTTAGTTTTAAAAAGGAGAAACCTAAAGGAGAAAGGAAATTTCTGAAGCTTCCAAAATTTAATTAGACATTCTAATGCATTTAGCAAACTTCATGAGGATAACAGTGAAGGGCTTCAAGTCAGGAGGCTAGTGTATTGAAACTAGAATGATGAATTAGATCACTCTGTGAAAAAGAAGAAGGAGGAGAAGAAGAAGCTGGTGTGTAATCCAGGGGTTGGATTCAACCGGTAGTAGAGCTGTGTTTTCTCATGGAAAGTTGGAGGAATCATTTGGTATGCAAATGTAATTACCAGTTCTGTTGGCATGTCTAGCAACTGGATATGGACATATAGAGCCACAGACCTGGAAAGAGCTCCTAGAGTTATTTAGTCTATCCCCCTATTTTGCAGAGGAATGTAAACTAAAACATACCTGCCAGAGAGTTGTCTTATCTTCCACTTGAATGAATTCAATGAAGGACAGTCCATCAACTGTAAAAGTGCTCTCATTTTGTTAGGAATTTTTTAAATCTACAACTAGAAGTTGCAGAACAAAGGAATTTTGCTTCCCCACTTTTGCTTCCTGTTTAGAATAGCTGTTAAGAATTATCCTGGCTAAATATTTTCTGTCTTTACATTCTGAACATTTTGCTAAGCATGGCATTTAAATGTGCACATGTGTACACAGAGACATACTTTCTATAGCTTCTTAACCTTCTGAATCGAATACTAGGACAATATTTAACAGCACTGTAGCTCCACATGGGAACTGTGTACTGAAATTGTAGTCTCTTTTATAGCAGATGTGTTCCAGAGATACAGACGCTTTAAATTGGATTCTTAGATGGGTGGTAAGACATATTCAGTGGCTCATGCTCCCTTTGAGTGACAGGCTTCCAGCTGGCTCTTCATATTTACAAGTTCATGTTTCTCCCTGTGAGATGGAGTGGCAAAAAATGAAAAGCAGAGAAAGCTTTCGGATGCAAATGCATAGAGTGATATTCCGTTAGGGGAATACAGTTCCACAATTCTGGGACTCAAATTTGAACTGGAAGAAAACATGATGAATTTTTCATCCCTAGTCTGAAGATTCCTGAAAGATTCATAAACGAGTCCAAAATACCTACAAGGGAAAAATGGTTGGCAAATGGTTGGCAGTATTAACTTGCTTGATCAGGGATGACAAGTGTACATATTTTTGACTAGAAACTCTTTATATTTTGCTAAAAATGAAAAAAAATGTACTGGTGACTTATAGATGATATAATGATGATTTGAAAGCGTACAATATAGGAAGAAGAGAATAATAATTTAACCTTAAAGAGAGAGTGGGTAGATGGTAACATTAATTTGTAACTACTCTAAAAAAAGATCAAAAGATGATTCGTTGGTAGCAAGATGAGCAGCATATAATAAATGAATAAATAAATATTTTCTTTTTTTAATTTATATTCACTTTTACTT